GCATGTTATGAATGTAAGTTGTTTTGCTTTAAATTAAAGTCACATATAAATGCAAACTTATTAAAAATATTAAAGTTTTAGAAAAGGATTTTTTTTAAGTTTTATATTTTATAGGGGAAATAAATGAAAATTGACATAAGATGTATAATGAGACAAATATATTTTGTACTAATGCCTTATTCACACTAATTTTGTATAATGCCCTATTCAAACTGCAGTAGAATAACATGTTGTACTCTTCGATTAACTTTTTATAAAATAACTCACACTTCAGGGAAGTTCTTGATTGCGTCACCAGTATAAGTAAAATATTACGCCTATACAATTTCCTACAAGTAATTAACTAAGTAATTTGAAATTTTAAAACTATTTTTATAGAAAAATTAACAAAAGAATTTTACTGTAACATACTCTACAGAATTTACGAAAAAAATAACATTGGAATAGGTGTATAAATTATGGCACGTTCTTAAAATATTTTTATGGTATTAATCCTTAAAATACTTTGATAAAAATTTTAAAATTTTTTTAACAAAATTTTTTATTATGTTCGTATATAATTTTGTTTAAGTGTTTTTTTTATAAAAAATTTAATTTTGCAAATTTATTTTTCATTTAAATTTATTGAATTATTTTTGTTTGAATTGAAAATAATAATTAAATGACTTTCAAAAATTTCTCAATTCCAATTTTTTTGTTAATTAAATTTTCCTACCAAAAAATTAAAACTGCATAGTCAACTTTAAATGTAATCAATTATAAATGATTATTCTTTATTTATTGTTAATAAAACTATTTATGTATTGTGTGCTATATATGGAAATTAAGAGAACAATTATTAAATTTATAACTAAAACGAAACTGTAAACATGAAGGCAAAAAAAAAAATTTGTTATAATACCTTCCCCTCTTCTTAATTCCTCTTATTAAATTTTTAACAAAAAATATTTAATTTTGATTTGTTCTTTTCATATAGGGCTTGAAATATAAAGGTGTATAGTAACATTTGATTTAGAAAAATACAGAATATACGGAGGGAATTGTGATCTTGTAGATTTGTAGAATTGTACAACCAGATAAACGGTACAATGCGTGTATAAGTATCTCTTATGGCCAAATCCACCCTCTAAGAATCCGAGATCTCCAAATCGACCCTTTTGATAAATCCCAGCACTTTATGAGCCCAGGAAAATAACAAACCTTATTTTCCTTCCCCGGACGAGTGAAAGCATCACACTCTCTCAAAAGTTCTAGTGAGGTTTGTTCATTTTCTCCATAGTAATTTAAAATTTAAAAATTCTCTATAATATTAATTTGATAACTCAGTATTTTAACTATAAATTGTAAAATATAAATTTTAATTATCTTGCTAATCAAAATATAATAATATCAATAAAAATTCATATAAATAATCAATTAACAAATTATCAAATATTAATTAATATTTATGATGTGGTTTGCTTCAGGTCAATGAAATCAGAATATATTTGAGGCAGCTTAAAAATTGTTCTATTTAGTATATATGAAGTATAAAATTTCAGTATATTATGAATATTTTCATATTTATATAAGGCATTACACATGGATTGAATTTATCCATATAAATTTCATCATAACCTTCAACTTTACAGTACGCTAATTACTGATGTATTAATAAACAACCCCTGCATATATTACTAGAATTTAATAAATTTTTCAACTGAATAAATTTAATATTGAATAATTATTATCAACAAATTTCTTTAGTTTTCATTTTCAACTTAAATAATATTATTATGTAGTATGTGTACCTAAACCTACACATAAAGCAAATACATAATATATGTACTTTGGTTGAGAATAAAATATGTGAGCATCTACGATGATAGTTATATTGAATAAGTGTGTTTTGTTTGAATGATAATTACCTATATGCACAAATTCTGATATGCAAATGCAGGATAATTAATTTGAAATACAATGTTAATAATTATTAAATCTATATTATTATAAATATTCTTTAGTTAAATAGAAAATGAGTGTACATTTTTGATAAATAATAAATATAATTATTATTATAAGATTAACATTATAGCATATTACATACAAGCAAATGTATGTACTCGTATGTACTTATATAAAATAAATTCAAATTAAATATACGAGTATTTACAATAATGTATATATAGTGGTTTCATTTTATAATCATTTACTTTGTTTTAATTAAAATTAAATATTGATTTTCAATTGTTGAAATTTTATAATTTCAATTTTTGGTGTGTAAGACGTAAATGAAGAATTAGAATGTTATTTTAATTTGTTTACAATGTTGTATTGCATAATTTTAGATGCACGAATGCAATTAATTGGAGTTTATATTTCAGTAGTAGGTCAAATTTCAGGCACGATTTCCCGGCATAATTTTTTTATTAAAACTACAGAAATAATTTTTTTATTAAAACTACAAATGTAACTGGTAGCTAAGTACACTAGTGAGTCAATAATCTCTTTGGAAACGACCGCAGGTGTACCTCAGAATCAAACATGTTAAGATGATGGAGACGTAACCCAGCATGTTTGCGAATATTAGAGACATGATACAATGATTATGCCCGACTACAGAGTTGTTCTAGGATCTCTGAAATTTTTTTCTTTTACAGTATTGGCATTGTCTCCGTAGAATGAGCACTTTAGAGTGGCACAATGGGTTACATCATACTGGTTTTCGGAGTACATTGTCGTTGAAATAAATGAAATCGCTCACGTCTTAACAAGAGGAGCAGGGCGGGCGGCTAATGTACTCTTCATGTGACCTGAACCATTCTGCGGAAGCTGTCCACAAATAGTTTGGCAAAGCATAAGCAAAGATATAGAGCTAGTGGGGTCGAAACTCTATAAAAATTGTTTGGGCTTTCGCCAAGTTCAAGAGCTTTTGGATGGAACTCAGCGAGAATTCTCAAGGTTTTCTTGATGGAGCATTGCAAACTGAGGAACTGCGCCTCATATTCTTCTATCAATACCATTCTAATTTAACATGAACGGGTTAATACGGCTTTTTTTAATTTTCTTCAGAATTCAAGGTAACTATATATCATTATGAACATTATAGTTTTATTTTTCTTAAGGTAATTAATAAAATTACAAAATGCTTAGAAAAAGAAAATATATAAAATCTATGTGTTCCAGTTTTTATTCTTACTCATAATATATTTAAATTTTATAAATGAAGTGAAAATTCTAAATAATGCATAAAATTTCAATGAGCCGTCATGGTAAAAAATTTTAATGACAATATTTTTTAATGAATTACAAATAATAATTTAAATTATGCGATTTTGTCACTTTTGAAATAGTTTCAGAAAAAAAATTTCTTCCTTCTTAAAAAAAATTAGCATAAATTTTTTTCTCTTTACACTACTAGAAAAATTTTCGAATTCAACTCAGAACCAATATTATTTATGATAAAAGCCTAATTTTGATTTTCAATCAGATCAATAATTTTTAATGGCAGTATTTAACCTCTATTTTTGGAACAACATTTTAAATGCATGTGCCTACTACACAAATTCTAAAAAACGTAAGAGTCATTAATTACGCATCATTACCAAACGTAGTGTTCCGAAAAGAAAAAAATCAAATTATAAAAATTATTTTTCATTATATTTTATTAAATTAGAATGAAATAATTTTAATTTTGTTTCCAATTTCAATATTATATTTCAAATCAACCGTCCAATTTTATTTAATTGTAATTAATTATAAAATTTTTTTTTACTTCGTATAATTTTAATGTTGTTCGTAAAAAAATTATTTTTAAATTTTTCAAAATCGGAAATTGTTTGTTAATTTCATTAACATTATTTCCGTTTTTTATTTTTATTTTTTTTTTACAAAAGTTATAAAATAAATTTTTTCAAAATATTGTATAACAAAAAATTTTACCATTTTGTATTTAATATGTTAAACCGCAGTTGCCATAAAATTAATCATCTTAAAATTAGTGCAAAGTTGAGCCAAAACATTTCTTATGTCATTTTTATTTTGTATAAAAGATTAAAATTCACTAAAAATGACATTTACTAATCGTTTAATTAAATTTATAGATTCCAGCTATTAACCCATTATACATATACAAAATATAAATCGGCAAGACATAAATGCAAATTATTGTATGTTTTTATATTTAATCATCATCAATTAAAATAAATTTCTATACACACATATGTAGTAGAAGAGTGCATTTTTATTTTTTTTTTGGCACAGATTTTCAATAAAATGAAAATAAGTACAAAAATAGAAAAGGAAAACAAAAATATTATTAATGCATAATATATTTATTATTTATAATTAAATTCTTGGAAAATTTACAATAAAAATGAATTATTCAAAATGCAAGATGAAGAAGAAAAATACTACTCGTATAGTCGCTTGAATGTAAGAGGAAAATGTGTGTAATTTTATAAAGCCAAAGAATGAAATGAAAAATTCTTAGAATGAAAATTAACAATTGAACATAGAAAAAAAATGTTGATTTATTTTTAAATTTCGCTCTTTTAAAGTAATTTTTTTTTTAAATTTCAAGTTACATTGAAAATATTATGGACAGGTCTGTTGTTCCCAATTTGTTAGGGTTTGTCTCGGATACTATTAATATTATGGAGGGGGTGGTCAGATCGATGTTATTTTTACGGATGTTAGTAAGGCCTTCGATACTATTTCGCAACAGGTTATACAGAGAAAGTTAGCTGGCGTGGATTTTTCTCTTCGTAGCTTGATGTGGGTCTACTCCTATTTGTCTTGCAGATTTTATCAGGTTTCTTTCCGTTCTGCTCTGCCTGATGTCTACTGTGCCAGGTCGGATGTTCCGCAGGGTAACCATGTGGGTCCCATACTTTTTTTAGTTGCGACTAACAACGCTTTTGGTTCTGTTGTGAGTTCCGCGCTCAAAGTCTTGGAACTTAACATTGGTAAGTGTCTCGTCATGAGTTTTTTGCAGAGGAGGAAGTCTTCTGTTGTCCGACATGATTATTGTCTTAACGGGGTGGTATTGGGGAGGGTGAGTACTTTTTGTGATCTTTTGGTTATGCCTAATCACAGGTTGGATTTTGGTACTCATTTGAATATGATTCTTGGTAGGGCTGATTCGAAGCTGAGTTTCGTAATGAGGTGGGCTAGAGAGTTTATCGATCTGTATGTTGCGAAGCATTTGTATGTGTCCTTTGTTAGGTCAATTCTTGAGTATGCTTGTCAGGTTTGGGCGCCCTTTCGTGTTGTGGATGGTTCTCGTATTGAATTTGTTCAGAAGAAATTTTTGCGTTTTGCTTCGAAAGGTTTGGGCTGGTCTGATCCTTTCAGATTGCCGTCGTATAAGGCTAGGTTGATTTTATCGATTTGCAGTCCTTGAGGGCACAAAGAGTTGTCGCTGACATAGTGTTTATTCATCAGCCCGTGTCGGGGGTCATCGTTCTTTTTTAGGGCAGGTTTCTATTAACGATAACGTAAGGAATCTTAGGTCTGTTGAGTTGTACAATGTTCGCTATCACTCTACTGATTATGACAGGAATGAGTCGGTCACTAAAATGTTGCGTTCTGTTAATTCTAATTCTTTGGTATTTGATCCTGCTATTAGTAAGGGTACCCTGAGATCTAAACTTTTGTGTAATTTAAATTTGTATTGATATTTTCGTTATGATTTCGTTATTCGTTATAGTTTTTTGTTGTTATTATTATTTTTAAGTAATGCACGTTATTTTATGATCTTTCCTATTTTTCTCTCCCTTTCCTATAATTAAATGATGATCCTCTTGCTTGGTTACCGATAATTGCATAGTTGCGACTAAATGATTTTTTTATTTGCGCCTGTTGGTGCTATGCTTAATGCTTGATCTAAACAGATCAAGTATGAAATGGAGGCTATAGAATTTGCAATATCAAATAATGCGATACCAATAGTGTCCATTCTATTAAAAATTTATTCCCCTACTTGTCAATATTTTTTTAACACTTCATTATTAAAGACAATTATAATTATTTTCCTACACAAACATATACACATGCATACAATATTTTCCTTTTATAGAAAAAAACTATTTTTTTTTTATAATTTTATACTTTAAAAATAAAATTTTTATGACCTCAATCTACAATTATTTAATAAAAATTTAATAGAATATGTGCAAATTTTAATAATTGTCGAAAATAAAATTTAATAAATCAATTTAATCTATTATGTAGAGTATATATTTTAAATTTAATAATAATGGCACAATTCAAATCCCTTAGCGAAAAAAACAACATCCTTGTAAAATAATAAATGTATTTTTTTTTTGTAATTTTTTTTCGTATTATATTTACTCAATTAATATATTGCGCTTTTTTTTTAATTCTGCATGAAAAAGGAATACGGAAAAAAAAATGATCTTTGAATTTTAAAACTATAGGATGCAAATTTTAAAGTAGGTAAAAATTTTTTAATAGTATCACAAAACAAGCACATTTTTATTTAGAGAGCATTATAGAATTTTAGAATCCAGAAGTAATTATCCAGATACGAGTATTTAATTATCCAAATTCTGTTTAAAAAATTTCAAAATCAAATTTTATTTGTAGAAGAAGAGGATTCAATTAATTGTTATTTCAAAAATATATGGTTTTTCTTGATGGCTTTTGTAGAATCCAAAATGGTTTCGAAAATAAGATGAAAAATTGGGTTGCTATCCAATTAACTGACATGTAATTGCGGATTGTGATTGAAAAATCAAAGCTAAAATTCAGTTTTTTGGAATTTATATGAATCACACATTCAGTTTTATGGTCTATGAGCATCTGTTTTGCATCCCCATTTCAGATTTTAAAATCATATTCCTGCTATCTTTTCCTGCTCTAAATTAACAAGATGCCACTAACAAATAAAAGCTCTGTATTGTACTTCGTCTCATATTTTTATCCCGATATATGTATTTCAAGAAAATCACCGAGTTCCCTGTTTTAAGTTAAAAATCCTAAATTTCTCTCTTATTCAGTGAATTTATTCAATTATATTTGAAACGAAAATAAAAATTTTTCATATTAATAAAATTTTTAACTATTAAAATTAAAAAAAAAAAATTTATTTATTTTTCATAGTCGATCGATATTGAAACAGAAATCAAAAGGCATTAATATTATTTTATCAATCAATAAATTATTACATTTGTGGTTTGGAAAAAAAAACAACCTATATACATATTTGTACAGATATACCAGGATAATACCATAATGTATTTAATATGCTATTTAAAATGTGAATTTTAAGTTTTCATTTTCCTTGACAATAATTGTTGTTTTGTTTAATTTTCCTTTTTCTCTATTATTTTAATACATACATGATACATATACGAAGAAGATTAGTTATAGCCTAAGGATATCCTCGTTTATATTTCAAATACAAAACACATTAAAATCGATATTCATATTGTGCTAATAATTGTGTTATACTTTCAAAATCTATAAAAATGATTTAGTGAGTAATTTGGGAAGAATTCTGAATTTATACTGAAAAAATATATGAACAATAAAATGTTTAGGAATATTTGATAGGAAAATCATATTTTAAGTAGGTTATACAAATATTTGGGTAGATTTCTAGTTTCAATCTAGTCTATCTTGGTAATTAATTACCTTGTAGAATAACAATATTCATAAAATTGGGGAATATTATTTCATGTTAATCAATGATATGTGAAATGGTATATTTACAGAATAAGATTATTTAGAAATTAATGTGGATTGGAGAGAATTTTTATTTTTATTATAAATTATTGGGGCTTAGGTAATTATATTTAATAAATTTTATACATGTAAGATAAAAGAAATTGTTGAAATTTAATTTAAGAGGCCTGTTATTTATGGGATGCATTTATCATTACATTTACATAATCAAAAAAGTTTGGATAAGTAGAAATTTCGAGAAAACTCGTTAAAGTCCCTGTATCTCGGAAACCCTTGAGAATTTGCATCTAGTTCGCAACAAAAGTTTTATCCATTTTCGACCCTCTAACCAATGGTATATGTTGTTGTATACCTTTCTGACTCACCCTGTATAAATTTTTTATTAGATATTTATGCAAAATAATTGACACTTCTATAAAAAAAAATTATATATTTTGAAAAATTCGAATAAATAATTAATAAGTGACAAGAAATATTCATATATCTATATAAAAAAATTCCTCTGTGTACATAAAATGTAAAAAATATTCATATACAGTACCGCACAAAATAAAATTAACAAATTATTTCTGTAAAACAAACTGCTATTATTGGCTCCTTGCAACATAAAATCATTATTATTTGCTATCAATAAAATTTTAAGGGTGAAAATTTTTACTCAAAGCCGAAACAGAATATGTGTCTTTTACCGACCATTTCATGACATTATTGTATCCACTTGTGTTTTAGAAGAGTTTTTTAATTAATTAAAAATTGAAAAATAAAATAACAAATAATATTTTTACCTTAAAATTAGAATTTTTTCCAAAATTTTTGGTTAAAAAATTTTTAAACACTCACCTGTAAATAAATAGTAAAAAAAATATAAATAAATTAATTATCATATAATTAAAAAAATTTATAAAATTTTTAATATGAAATCTACACTTATAATAAAAGAAGTCATAATTCATGCTAAATATTTTGAGAGTTTTTTTTTAGCCTGTGAGTTTGGATGCAACCAATTATTATAGTTAGTATCATGCATTTAATTAAAATTTTATTATGCAAAAATATTTAAGAAAAAATTTTGTATATTTTCTGTGTCCTTAAAATTGTGATTTTACCAAAATAAAGGAACAACAACAGAATTAAACTATAAGTACTTCATAAAACGTATTTACAAAATTTAAGGTTATAAATGATAAAAACGTTATAAATTAATGTGAACTAATTGAAATTACTTCATACATTTTCAGAACAGATGAATGATGTAATTACAGGAGCGGGTCCAGGCAGAAATAATAATAACAGATATTTTACGAACTGAGCTACAGAAATATGAAGAATTTACCGGCAAATTTTTCTTTATATTGCTTTACGGTAATCTACATGATTACTTCATGTATTTGTTCTGCAGTTGTAAGAAGTAATTCCCATTAGTTATTCTTATAAGAATATTAATAATAATGATAAACAACAAAACGTAGTATTGGTATTATGATAATATAAATCATTGTTAATTAGAAATTAAATAATTAAGTATAATGGTAATTTTTAACAAAATCATTGTAGTTTAAAACTTAAAATGATTAACGGCAGATATCAGGTGTTATACAAGCGAAAATGTTCCCGTACTTAATTCGAATTTAAATTACTAAGTTTAAACCACAAAATGAATAATAATACAATTTATTTCCCAAAAAGTTTTAAATAACATTTAATTTTTCTTCAAAATTTCGCAAAAATATTTCAAAATTATCTTTTATTTTACAATAGGGCCTTATACACAACTTATAATATTATGTCTATTGAAATACATATATATATGCAGGTATATTACAAGAGAAAGAAACTATATAAGTTCTTATTTATTTTAATTTACAAAAATTTAATATTTTCCCCAAAACTATTTTATTTTATTATATAAAAACAATATTTTTAATTCATGAATATCTGATTGAGTTCTTACTTATACATTTAACCTTTAACTTTCTGTATAGTTTTTGTTCTATTATTCTGTTATTATTGATTTTATTTTTTATAGTAATATACCAATTAAAATATCTTTGTTATCTTAAAATTTTGAATCATTTCCAAAAGTGCTAACAAAAAACCATATTAAAAACTTAACAAAAATTACATAACTATTTTTTTTTCTTGTTTGTAGAATAAAGATATGTTTTTTAATTTCCTTTTCAATTGAAATTACAAAAATATTTTTCAACAATTTAAATCAGTTATACATTGTATATATTACTAAATGCACAATATAATATTTTTTATCATAAAATGTAACTATTGCATATACCAGGGGTGGACAACTGAAATACTCGATAGTAATTGAAATTTATCAAAATTTGAAAT